CAAGGTCAAACACAGTGTTTGCACAAACCAAGGTTAAAAAATAAAGCAATAGGCTTCCCGGTGCAATGACTCTATTTTAAAACACGGCTCCTGTCCTCAAAGACACGGCATGCTAATGGAGTGGCTTACTGTTACAGCTGAGACACGTGCATGGAAGCTACTAATCATTAACAAGTAAATTAAAGTCAGATGAAAAGACTGATACGAGTCACGACTGTCAACTTAGAAATATGACAGGAACATGTGTTAAACTCTGTTTAAATGGCATGAAGAACTGCAGCTATGTACAGTATATACTATACACTATTAATGCATACTAACAGAATGCATTATGCAAAGATAAACACTAGTATGTTACATAACGCTTACTACATTGCACGCATAATTATGCAGTCTTTTTATCATTTTGAAAATAAAAATGCACTGCATTTTTAATCCAATTTTAAGTCTAAACTCAAATGTATTTATTACATTTGCTTATTAACATATTTAAAAGTTTAGACATACATGTATAGATTAGGGCTGTGTGATTTGGGGAAAAATATCAAATTGCGATTTTTTTTGACAGATATTGCGATTGCGATTTGATTTGCGATTTTAAATTTGCAAAGTCAAGCTTCAGCTCAATATTGTCAATAATGTGCAGCACAGTATGGGTATCATTACCCTGCTGAAAAAAACAATAGAAACCATCACAGAAATTCTTATACATTTTTGTTTTGGGCATTATTCCAATAGGAATTACTGTTGTTCTATTGGTTCCCATCTGCCAGATTACATCCCACCAATAGAATCCATCAAATAGACACCATTATAGTTCGCATTAAAACCAAACAAATTCCCATTATAACCTGAAATACATTAAATTTGTTATTGTGTTTTGGGAGGGATTCTATTGTTTTTTTTCTTCAGCAGGCAAGATTATAATTGTATAACTACTTTTACAGAATTAACTTAATTACTGAATTTCACAGAAAATATTTGTTTATTTTTTATAAATAAAGAACTGTATTTCTTAAGTCAATTATTAAAGTATTACATATGTTACATAGGCTGATTTATTCATTTGAAGTATTTGGGATTTTAAGAGCAAGTGGAAAATGTGCTGAATGTTTAATTTCATCCAAGTGAAATTAGCAAGCAGTTAAGACTGAATTTACATTCGTTTTAAAAGCGGAGCCAGGCGTGAGTCGACACAGGTTGCGCACGTGCGTCAAGTCTCATCCATACTGCCAGATGCGCTCATGAAGACTTGCGGTGCGGAGCCGGGTGCGAGTATAAACCAGCATTATGAGACAGGCTGCGTGAGTGCGGCAAGCATGAAGCGTGTCGTCTGTGACGCGGGATTCGCGCCACGTGGGGCAGAGACGAGCGAGTATGAGAAGCATTCACAGACACAGGCTGTGTGTGCGCTCTTCTGAATTGGGAATAGCGAACATGCATCATAAACTTATTCAAATTAATCTGTTGGGTAAATAAAATGTGCAAGATAATGTTCACGTACTAACAAAAACATCTAAGAATGTATCTTTTATTCTCCAGTACTGAAAACAGAACCGATAAGGAAGCTTTTGATATGCGCTGTGACGCAGCTCTCGCAAATTACATTTTTTGTTCGTTGTCTGTCATTACGAAGCTTAAGTTGCATACGGTTTTCTTTAGTTTTAATTTGCCTAACTATCGATCTGACCCAGTCATAATCCCACTCTGTCTCTCTCCTGTCCCGCTTTCCGTATTTTTATTTTTTTTTTAATGGTGGTTGTTTACGCAGTTGGCTAGAGCAGCTGATTGGGGAGAACGGAGGTGTGTTCACTCTTGCCCACGGCAATTAAGACGGCAACTCAAGGCTGGCAGTCATGCATATGCTCTGGAACAGAGTACTATCGCGTCCACATCGCAGGCTTTGCGATTAGGAAATCGCAACGTCTCAAATCATGATTTAGATTCAATTTCGATTAATCGCACAGCCCTAAAATAGATTAGGGATGTAACGGTATGAAAATTTCATATCATGATTATAGTGACCAAAGTTATCACGGTTATCAATATTATCATGGTTTTGTTAAAATTTGATTAAAATGTTCAAAAATAACTAATACACACACTGAAAACATTTCAATGCCTTGCATTCGCTATAACAGTGGGTGGTGGTCATGAAGATGACTTTGCAGCGAATTTCTTCTTGCAAGATCTGCAGTTAGGGTGACCATCCTCGATGAAATTGCCTTCAGGACTCTTGTAAAAGCCAAAATACGACAAGACCACCGATTTGGTCCTCTTAGATGGCTGAAAAATCTCCTGAGCGCTGTCACTGCCTTCCGCCATTTCGTCTCGTGCAAAAAAACAATAACAACAACAACAACATTGCATGCTGCTTCTGCGTCAGACTGATGCTAGCTGGACAGAATTTACCGCAAGTTTTCAAAATCGCAATAATCAAACACGGTTTTGATGATAATTACATTTTAAACGATAATATTAACCGTCAGGGCATTTTATCATGATTTATCGTAAAACCGGTAATCGTTACATCCCTAGTATAGATAGATCGATAGTTCTGATAACATATCAATACTACACTCTAAAAAATGCTGGGTTAAATACAGCAGTTAAATAAAATAGGTACAAACCCAGCAATTGGCTTGTTTTGACCCAGCGGTTGGGTTACTACCCAGAAGGTTGTGTTAAACATTTAACCCAACCGCTGGGTCAAAACAACCCAATTGCTGGGTTTGTCCCTATTTTACCCAGCACTGGGTTGTATTTAACCCAGCATTTTTTAGAGTGTACTATAAAATATGACTACTAAATAGTAATAATGTATTTTTAAAACTTTTTATTTGATAATAACAATATTTTTTTATTATTTGTATTATTACTACTACTACTACTAAATAAAAATATTAAAGAAAATGTAATAAGAAATTATTATTGTAATTGAAATACAAAAGAATAGAGAATAAAAAAACAATATCATAATTTTATTTAACAGTAAAAATGTAAATTTACAGTACTAATATTCATGTCACTATTCCCAAAATTGTTGATTATATATCAATATGACTACAAAATAATGTTTAGTTAGTAATAATAATAATAAGTCAATATTATTACTACTAATTAAAAATATTAAAGAAAATATTACTATTTTGTACTCATAAAATCTTTTATTACAAATACTAATTGCAATCTCTGACTATTGCAAATTCACTGTAAAATACACAAACTAGAATAGAAATAATTATTTTACAATAAAACTGTATATGTACAACACTAATATTTAGCGATGTCTTATTTTCTTCATTGTCAAATGTTAAACCATCGAGCTTTCAAGCTGCTATTGTACGCAAATATTACCTAATACCACAGAAGCGCTGTACAAACTCTGAGCACATTTAATAATATTAAGCTTAGGCCTGTATCCCCGGAGAGAGGCAACACAAAGCCATGACACTCATCTTTAGGACCAGAGCTTTACTTGACACTGCCGAGGCCGGCCTGCCATCAATTATTGACTAACTCCTCATGACAAGAAGTGCTTTTAGTAAACATTTCCTCGACACATAGAGCACATATAAAGACAATGCAAAGTTCTGAGTTAAATATTCATGATGATAAGTAATGATGTTATCATTTCTTTTTAAAACCAAAAGAACACCCGATGCTGTTTGTCCAGAATAGCAGATGGCTTGGGTTCTTATCATAATTAAGTGATCTATCACCGATAGTGTTTTAGAATGACACGACGCATGCAAATTAGGGCCTAAAAAAATAGAAAATCAGCAGAGGGATGTCTGTGGCCATCATTTGACCCTTAAGGACGGGCAGCACAGCATTTGTCGCCTACCTGGTCTGTGACCCGCAAACACACAGTCTGTAGTGCCGAGGTTCTGTGCACAACCTTCACCATCTGTCCATCTCACCTGCTGTGTCGTTACCATCCTAAAACGCCTCCCGCTACACCAACCTGCCTGTAGGTGTGCTGCCAATATGTAAAGCATCTGGGTGGAGCGCTCTATCATGATGCTAATGCAAAAGGTATTGTGATGCGACAGGCAAAACCCCCCTCCCATGCTGCATGGTGTATGTGGAGCAACCAGGTTTCAGCGTAGATCCCTAAAAAGACAGCTCAAACAAGGAAAACAAGCATGCATTTCACACACACACACTGATACTAACATCTCCAGAAGCAGATCCTGTGATCTCTGGTGACAAAATTCAGAGTTTGGTATTCACAACAAATAACTTTACACACCAAAGAGCCACAATGAAGTAATCACTGTGACAGGCAACACTGAAACACTGGCGTCTCAAATGCATTTATCAGTGAAATTCACTTAACAGCATCCAGCTTGATCTAATAACAGCTGTACTATATAACTCCACGCTTTGCACTCCCCAGATCAGACCTGACCACAGTTAAACCCATGTTTGCATTGAGGAAAAACTGAGTGCACCAGCTCAAACCGAGATTCACTGTCTAGCTGTTTATTTCACACATATTTCAGACTATAACAACGTAGCATGAGTGTAAAAGCATGCAGAAGCCAAAAGCAATTCAAAAACCCTGTTTGGGTCGATTTATAGTGTCATTTCTGTCTTTTCACACACATTTTTAAAGACATCCAACCCTGACTGATCACCCAATTCATGCTCTAGTCTAACGTTAGTCTGTCTAGCAGGAGGCATTTCAACTGTACGCTCGTGTGCATGGCTTCATCCTTCCTATACATAATCATTTAAGGGAAACACACATTTATGACAGCTTATTACTAATTTGACAGCTGGGAAAAAATAAATTAAACGCAAAGAAAAACAGGAAACGACTGCACAGGGCCATTCAAATCACCAAGCACGATTGAAAACTAAGCCCTTTGAGTCTTGGATCACACTGAATATCGCTACACACACGTTCACATACAAAAAATCATCTAAATCGCGTAGGAAACCGTAGTAAGATGAAAGAGATGATACAGACAGCTCTAATGATTCGTCCTCACCTTCCACTCCGGCTGCCCGAGGTTGATCTGTTGGCTGGATTTGATTCCGTGTTCGGCTTTGCTTGTGAGAAAATCCTCTCGAAATGTTCAAAAACAAAAGATGAGGACCTATTTCGATCCTCGCTGGGTTGAAGCGGATAAAAACGCAGCCGTTTCTGTCTTTTCTTGGATATCAACGGTTACCTCAGAAATCGGAAGCCGTGAGAGTACGTTAAAAACCGTTAAAACTGGATCATATTACTTGTGGACGTGTCGGATTTCTATTTATATGATCCATGTGATGTGGAATAAAACACCATAAGCGTTCAGTCTCCCAGCATTTGTGTGTTTTAATGAAATGTTTTTGTGTAAATCCAAAGAGTGGCGGCTGCTCTCGCGCTGCTTCTGCTGCTGCTCCTGCGCGCGTGAGTATGTGTGCGCGCGAGTCTGCTCGACTGCATTCCTCCCTCTATTGCACAATGAGTCGCTATAATTTATTCATGAGATCATGGGGATGGAGGTGCTCTGTCGGAAGAAAGAGAGGCAGCTTTTCTCTTTCTTGCTTTCTTTCTTTCTTTCTTTCTCTCTCTCTTTTTTTGTCCCTCACCCCCTCATCGCCCGCCCCAGCTGACTGACTTCCCCTCGAATGCGAGACTCGATTAATGGAGCTTCGAGAGCTCGATCGAACGAGGCTGGGCTGGGCTGGTTGACGATTGTGCTGCGCTCGATGATGCATGAAATACTGTATATGGGGGATTCTTCAATGAAGGGCGCTACATTAACAATGTACTAGGGATATGCCGGTATCAAATTTTCATGTTGCGATTAATTGCTCATGCTTTTATCACGGTAGCGGTATCACGATATTTAAATTTAGTATAACAAAAAGTGGTGCCATAATACAGTATAACACGTTTAATAACACTCATATAACAACAATAACTGAACATTTAAATACAATAAAGCAATACAGAAAAACGTATAAAGTTAAAAGTTTTACACAGATTAAAGTGCAAAAGAACTTTAAAGACCAATAGGTATCACTTTACAATAAGACCTCATTAGTTAACCTTAGTTAATGCGTTAACATTCACAATAAGCAATAGCTACATTTGCTACAGAAGTTATTCATTTTTGTAAAAAAATAAATACAAGTCTTAGTTCATGTTAGCTCATTAAATAACACAGTTGCAACTTACTATTTTAACAACGTGTTATTAAATATTGGAATACCTAAGATTAATGAATGTTCAGACAGATTTTTCATTGGCAGTTTGTGAATCAAAACACAAAATATCTAGGGCATGTTGTAGTCCAGATTAAAATGTAAATTTGGACTACAAATGTAAAGTAGGGAAGTCGTGGCCTAATGGTTAGAGCGTAGGACTCATAACCCAAAGGCTGTGGGTTCGAGTCTCGTACCGGCAGGGATTGTAGGTGGGGGGGAATGAATGTACAGTGCTCTCTTCCACCTTCAATACCATGACTGAGGTGCCCTTGAGCTATGGGTCACCATACTTGGCCACATGTCACTTCACTTTTAAAACTAAATTTTTGCTGACTACTAAAATGTAAAACAAGTTTGAGAATAAATAGTCTATTAAGCCTAAATATTTATGTATTTGGCGCTGTGATGAACATCATAGCAAATACACAAATCTGAATGGCTGTTTAAATCATTTAAACACGTTTCAGAAACAGAAGCTGCTTCCCAAATGACGCACTATACACTATGCACTCATACACTATGTACTCAACCATGTATTGTATGAATTATATAAGGTTATTTTGTCATTCATAAATTACGCCTTCGGTGTGTAATTAAAGGGGTCATATGATGTTGCTAAAAAGAACATTATTTTGTGTATTTGGTGTAATGAAATGTGTTTATGCGGTTCAAGGTTAAAAAAACACATTATTTTCCACATACTGTACATTATTGTTTCTCCTCTATGCCCCGCCTTTCTGAAACGCGTCGATTTTTACAAAGCTCATCGGTCTGAAAAGCGAGGTGTGCTCTGATTGGCCAGCTATCCAGTGCATTGTGATTGGCCGAATACCTCAAGCGTGTGACGGAAATGTTACGCCCCTACCATACTGTGATGCCATGTCCCGGCCGGAGCTACGAGACAAAAACATTAAAAGCCATTATAAACGAGGCATTTGTTGCATCCAGTGGGGACATAATTACGGATTATAATGACTTATATTTCACAACGAAACACAGCGTCACACACGGCGGCCTAGAGTTAGCGGCGACTGGCTAGAGTGAGCGGCAGCGGGCTTGAGAACGGCATGGCGGGCGGGCTTGCGGCAATCACATGTGACGACCCTGGGCTGGACTCCGCTTCGTCCACGGTGAAAGCCGATCCGGCGATCCACAGCGTGAAGTTGATGTATTTCCTCAGCAACCAGCACGGATCAGCTCCAGACATGACGAAGCAGATATCGTCCTCTTTTGGAAGACCAAACAAAGTAGTTTCGCATTCACAACGAAACACACAGAACACAAACACACAGCGTCTTCACGACATGGCGGCAGCGGCAACAACAATACTACAGCGAGAATAAAAGGTCCTAAAGCTAACGCTTCTGGTCTGGCAGCACGTGGGAAAGGAGACCAGAGGACGTTTTTTTTTAATGGATGTCAATGGAGAAGAGGCTTCACTATGCTGAATAAACAGCTTTTTAGAGGAAACGGCTTATCATTTAATGAATCAACAGCCTATCTGCTAACATGTTTTACATTAAACAATACTTTTGGATTTAACTATTTTTTCAGTTTACCACGAAAAAAGTGCCGTTTTATAAGAGAAGTCACTGAATTTTTGCGACAGGTGGGATTCAGTTTACGGCACTTCTCATTCATTCCTATGGTATCCGTAAACGGCGATTGAGTGTCGCACAACACTGACTGAATTTCAATGACGTCAAGGCTGTAATGTGATTGGTTATTAAGGGACATGTGATCCAAGTTAGCCGTTACGCTTTCTCCAATAGTAAGTAATACAGACCCTCTCATCTCCTTATAGTAAGACAATCTCTGCTTTCATCCAGAGCATCTCTCACACGTTCCGCCATGCGCTTCTCATCCGTGCTTGTTAACATCAGAGTGCGCACGCATCTTTCACGCAGCATACAGCAGTGTTGTACATTTTGACCAGTTGATGGGAAAAGTATTCTTAAAATGCATTTAAAATTCAGAATAATTTGTAATACATAATTATTCACGGTATTTAGAAGTGCCCACGATAACAATATCGTGCATATTCATTACTGTGATTTATCATTTAATGAATCAACAGCCTATCTGCTAACATGTTTTACATTAAACAATACTTTTGGATTTAACTATTTTTTCAGTTTACCACGAAAAAAGTGCCGTTTTATAAGAGAAGTCACTGAATTTTTGCGACAGGTGGGATTCAGTTTACGGCACTTCTCATTCATTCCTATGGTATCCGTAAACGGCGATTGAGTGTCGCACAACACTGACTGAATTTCAATGACGTCAAGGCTGTAATGTGATTGGTTATTAAGGGACATGTGATCCAAGTTAGCCGTTACGCTTTCTCCAATAGTAAGTAATACAGACCCTCTCATCTCCTTATAGTAAGACAATCTCTGCTTTCATCCAGAGCATCTCTCACACGTTCCGCCATGCGCTTCTCATCCGTGCTTGTTAACATCAGAGTGCGCACGCATCTTTCACGCAGCATACAGCAGTGTTGTACATTTTGACCAGTTGATGGGAAAAGTATTCTTAAAATGCATTTAAAATTCAGAATAATTTGTAATACATAATTATTCACGGTATTTAGAAGTGCCCACGATAACAATATCGTGCATATTCATTACTGTGATATATGGCATTATATGGCGAATACCGGCACATGTCTACAATGTACTAGCAAATGTAACCTTTCACTTTTAGAAATTGGAAAAAGAGGATAAATGAAACGTTTAAAGCTACTATTTTTAATCATTCTAGATGTTATTTTAGTATTATTACATAAATATACTATTATACTTCTTAATAGATTTTTTCGATTTTAGCTTAAGTTTTAGGAAATTTCTTAGGTCATTTTGTAGTTTTTAAAGTATTTCTCTTTAGCTTTAATTTATTTTATTTCAGTTATGTTTTAATTTTAGTGCTTCAACTTAAACTTCACTTTTAAGTTTAAAGTTTGAGTTTTTTAATCTAATATTTAAATGACAAAAATGTGCTATTTTTAGTTTTACATAACAACGCTGATTCTGTTTTTCTTCTTCATGGGGCATTATTTTTATTAATGTCAAAAAAATCTTACATAATGTATCACAGCAATAATAAAGAAGCACCAAAATGTCTCTCACACAGAGTAGTGTAATTTTTTTTAAAGAATTACATTTGTGTAGTGATTTAAAAAACAATGTTTTGACTTTTTTTTTTGTTAAAAAAAAATAGAGACCAGATTCCAGTTATGATAGATAAACTCTGTGCTTATGACATGAGACATGGCCGCCATTGTGGCTCTGTGGGATCATACTGTTATGTTAATGAAAGGAATTTTTAGGGAGGGTGAGAGACACTTGAGCCAAAATGGCACACTGTTGCTGCATTATATAAATGTTCAGTCATGGAGCATTTGGCAGGCAGCCTGTGTTAATGGTGTTATTTCACTGACAAGCCACTGCCATTTCACACCTGATGGATTCAGAAAATTTGGGGATTTTTATATATTTTTTACATGATTAAAAATGATTACTCTGTATACGTAGATAATTGTGTAATTAACACTAATGTTCAAAAGTTTGAGGTCAGTAAGTTTTTAATTTTTATTTATCAATGAATCCTGAAAAAATGCATCACAGTTTCCACACAAATATGAAGTGGCACAACATTTTTCAACACTGATGATAATAGTATGAAATATTTCTTGAGCAGCAAATCAGCATATATTAGAATGATTTCTGAAGGATCATGTGACGCTGAAGACTGATATTGAAAATTCAGCTTTGCATCACAGAAATTAATTACATTTTAAAATATATTCAAATAGAAAACAGTTATTTTAAATTGTATAATAATAATTTACAATATCACTGTTTTTACTGTATTTTTAATTAAATGAATGCAGCCGTGATTAAAAATAAAACACTTAAAAGAACACATACTGACCTCAAATTATTATCAAATGATATCCCAGATTAATTATTTAGCACAATTATTTAAATTGAAGTTGGCCTCATTCATGAAACAAAAGCAGAACGAATGTAAAATCAATTGTGTAAAAAAAAAAAATGTTACATTTCATGTAAATTGTTGTATTAGATGTCTAAACCGTTTAAACAGAAATTCCTTCCACATTTCATGAATGAGGCTCAATGTGTTCAGGGACATGTTTTTCACACGGGCAAGTAGCCAAAGTGTTTTTAAATCATGAATTCGAAGAGCAGTGGTGTGCGCTGTCCTCTAAAAAGCAGCAGGCAGTGAAAGGACTGGTTCAGACTGCTGCAAACCTCACAATAGAGAGGTCAGAGAAGGGCGAACTCAACTTCTCTCAACCCTTCGTATACTTAGATATCAACTGCACTCTCTCAGTTTATTTCATTATTGATCCCATTACATTGTTTTCTCTGGAATAAGATGCACGGTGAATCGTTC